GCAAAAACCATTACCTTATCTGACAAAGAGACTCGGAAGAAACGATGGAAGGAATGACGGAAGTGTCAAGGGAAAAGTCGGGATAATTTATTTTACCGCTGTGTAGAAAAATCTTTACACGACTACGAGAGCGATCCGAGCAACGAGTTAACAGCCATTTAGATAATAAACTGTACATTTCGCGCTAAATGATAGCCGAGATCCCCGCGGTTCCCACGCGCATCGTTACCGTTGTCTGGAAAATGAAGGAGGGAAGGTCGAGTCTCCGCGCATTAGAAAAATATCAAGGGCAATATTTCTTCCCCAAGAGTGTTGTTCGTCGCGCCTTTCGTAACCGAGAACGAGACCTCTGGAGAAAGAAGTAGGAAACGGAAAAGAAAAGAAAACTGCGATAAGTAAGATCCTGTTGCGTTCTCTCTGTGATGTCCGGAATTCCATAACGCAAAGTTAAGGAGAACATACTGCGACGGCCTTCGAGTCCGAAAGTTAACACAATTCGGAAAGTTAACACAATTCAGAGGTTCCGGAGTTTTGACTGTTTCGTCGCAACATAACGAAACTTGAGAAATCACGCTGAGAAATACTTGTTGCAGACATCTTTAGAAGTCTGTTTAGTCTAACGACGTAACGAATTAACATCTACTGTTTGGAAGAACTAATTGAAAATTATAAATTTCTCTTCTTTCTCAAAGAAAAACTATTTTCTTTCCGGCTGTCGCGTAAAAGATGTATTTCATATATGGTCATATCGTACATGATAAATAGGGATACGCAAATTTATAGAGAGCTGAGATTTATGGAGAATTGCAGCTAATATTTCCTATGACTGTCAGCGAATATCAGTAACGTGATTAATTTGTGATACTAAATGAGATCATACTGAAATTAATTATTCGGATATTTTCGGTTTGTAGATTGGAAATATTATCTTTAGATTTCACATATTGCGCATCGATTATGTATCAAGTTGCACGCGGTTCAGAGATATTCATTAATAAAAATATACTACAGTAAAAATATATACGTAAATTATTTGCGGAAACAATGGTTCCATATTACAGAAAAATATTTGCATTGATGTTAATATTTATGACGTATACATTTCGGTATTTTATTTCTACTTTTAACGGCATTATCAGATGTTTTAAAAATTTATATTCTTTACATATTTTTTTTCATATTGAAAAAAAAAAAAATTAAATCCTTGAAACCAATACCCGGTATTACCAATTCTGATATCACCAGCCGTATTAGCAGATTATACAGTAGCGAAAATTTTCAAAAACAGCAACAGTTTCGCGATAACGTTTGAATGACGGAAATTATTTCAATTCATAGAGACGTTATTCACAAAGAAATCCCCGCGGGAGAAGTTCTTAGCTATTTTTTCTCCCTCGGAGAATCCTCGAATTTCTCATAAATTACCATAATTTCCCAACTCTGAAAAAAAAATAAAAAAATAAAAGACTCACGTCCGGGTTCGCGTAGAATTCCATCCCGATTACGTCCATATCAGAGACGAGCCATAATTTACGGACGACCCGCGACGCGGGAACGAGTGCATTTGCTTTCCATCGACGTACACGGAGGGGGAAGGGGAGAAAACACACTTTTCACACCCTCGCTCGAAATACCATAAAGCGTGGTTAGGCGGGAAGGTCGAGCGAAGTCAAGTTGGGTTAGGTTAGCGTCGTGAATGACGGAGGAGGGTCGCGTTTCGCCCCGATAAAGTTTGTTCGATCGGCCGTTAGTCTCCTTCTTATGGCCCCTTTGCCGTGACAAGCTTTAAACTACGTTCATACGAAAGTATTTCGCGAACGTTCGCTCGTCCAATAACCCGAGCATTTTGCTATTAAAAAAGAAGAAAAAGTAAAAAAAATAAAAAAATACGCGAATTCTCACAGAGAGAGAGAAAGAAGAGATGTGTGTGGATAATAAGACGTGAAAACTGATGGCAAAAAAACTTTCCTACAAAAATACACCTCCCTGAGAAAAATTACATTTTACGCCGTCCGTTGGCCGTTTAAATTCTTCTTTACCCACATCCTAAATTTATGCTAATTATGCATAAATGTATTATTCTCGAAAAAGACTTCACTCTCGGGCCACGACTCCACAATGCGGAATCGGCATTACACACACACACACGTGCGGTTCGTGTCTTTTCCCGTGGACTTGGAGGTCGGGCACGTTGTGCCGGAAAGCGTGCAACGGCCGCGGACGAGCGTTTAACTTTGTTCCGAAGTTCTCCAAGGTCGTGCCGACGCGGCGCGGCGCGGCGCGCCCGTTGTAGGTCGGTGCCACCGGAGTAAAGCAGCGAGAGAGAATTTCCCGAGGCCGCGTCATAAATCTCTATCTGTTGCCTGGGGGTAAATGTTCGCGGAATAGACTTTGGCGACGATTGTAATTTCGCGCCACCGGGATGTTGTCTCATCCCCCCACGTGTATGCGAACACGTGTGAGTGTCCCGTGTACCTGTATCGCCGAGAGCGCGAAAGATTTATTCTGGCCCCGCCACTTTCTTTTCTCTCGCGTGAACGTTTATTGCTTCAGCGGTTGTGGCTTTCGGCAAATAAATTTATTATCGATGTGACGTAAACGCGGAAGAATATTTTAATTTATGTACCCCTTTTTATTAACTTCTTTTAAAATCCCTTTAAACAGCCGCGTACAATAATTGATAGAAAACTTTATTTTAGACCGCTGTAGAAAAAAAAAATGAAAATTTCTCTGTGATGGTTTTTTTTTTTTTTTTTTTTAATATCCCATACAGAATCGCCAGCGATCACCAACGAAACCAACTTAGCCAACTACTGATCGACTGACGGCTAAGATTCTGTCAACCAATGCTGGGCCCGAGTACCATTTACCAGTACTGGACCGATTAAAATCCTGTACGGGATATATTTAATTAATAAAATTTTTAATCGCACATTCTTATTCAGACATTAGTGTAGAAAAAGATTTATCTACACAAAGCATTAATCTGCAGGTAATATTCTCTTACGTGAATTTTTATCTTTTGCATATATTTTAATGTTACCACAGAATTAAGATATAATCTCGAACTGATTATAATATAGACGATTAACAAGACGGACAATTCTGCGACAAAGTGTGGCGCAGAAAGGGATTAACGAAGTGAGTGACTTCAACGCGTAAATAATTCACTCTTATAGTCGACAAATCAACCTCCACAAACGACAAGCTATTATTTCTAGTTGCACGGACGTGACACAAGGCGAACTCATAATCCAATTTTATGTGGCAAAGTAGAAAAAAATCGATCGACCCATGCCTGACCTAAACTCCGCGTTTAATCCTTTTCTATCGGTTCTATAGCTTGATCCGTCGACAAAGTATTATTTGGCCGTTAAATTGTTGCGATAACGCAGTATACAGTTTCGCGGAAATGTCAAAAACAAAACTCCCCGGGGGATTACTTGACAACGAGCACTTAGCTGCTCATTCGTACGGCCGTAAAAACGACCGTTTGAACTTTTCGCACGCACTGCCGATCTGCATAACCGCGGGAAAACCGGCGCGAATACCTTTTATACGTTACGTTAAGCGCCCGTGTTTGCTTTTCGCGATACGAAATAAACGATCGCGCGCGTTTACCAAGCATTCATACGTCAATATTTAGAACGAATTGTCGTCCGTACGATTTACCGCTGTTTGTACGCTATTTATACGCGCTATTTATTATTTATACAATGGAAATTTGCGATTCGCGGCGCTAATTGACGCTCGTCGCTGTTGCAACATTCAAGCGGTCAACCGCTAATCGTTTGTACATCTTGCACGAGATTAATTTATATATTGTATCTTCATGAAATCGTTCTCTCTCTCTCTCTCTCTTTGTGCTTTCTTCTCTCTCTTTCCGCATTTATTCTATGTCCGCAATCGAAATTACAACAAATAATCTTACGATATCCTAAAATGGAGTCACCCAATTTTGCCGTGTAATAATAGTAAATTAATAATGGAATACCAATAATTTCGTCAATACTTCACTGAATGATTAAAACTGCTATCTTGTAGAATTAATTCGACAATTGAATGGATTATTTAAGAAAACTGAACGACGGAGAAAATTAAGTTTTTGAATTGTCGCTTCGATTAAAATACTTCGAGTAAATTGAAATTAGGGAAAAAAAGATCGGATGAATCGGATTAAAATATGTCTTAAGTGTATAATGAACTTTAATGATGAAAATCACGACGATGATTTTAGTATAATCCGGGCAAAACGATACCAGCGCGGTGCCATCGACAATGGAAACAACAATGGTTGTCATTTCTATTACAATAGACACGCTGCGCGCTTCTGTTCTAACAATTCCATTATCTCCGCGCGAAAGCCTCCGCCAGGGCGAGGCTTTATTATGCCTATCAGAAAATTTAGATCGTTTATTTAATGGGATATAAATAGTCGAGCGCGGCCTATTAACAAAATACGGAGTATTTCGCGCGGAACAATAGCTTTGCGAAGTCATTTGGCCGTTCATGCGACGACTGCAATTATACGTTTCGTTATAATGGCGCCACAAGTAAGCAATTTAATGCTTAACGTTATGCAATTAAAATTAAAAATGGATCACATAATATCGCGGACGTCGATTTCATTAAAATTTTTAAAAGCCGCCCATGCGTTTCGGCGATGCGTTTCAACGATGTAACATGCTCCATTGTACACGATAATAATTTCGTCTTTTTTTCTTTTTTTTTTTTTTTTTTTTTTTTTTTTTTTCGTAGCCACAATTACTGCAAGACGTGAAAAATGCAAGGGAAACTATTTTAAATTTAATAATTTATCAAGCATTTAATTTGAAAGTCTAATTTTCTATCTTGTAAATCTTAAATTAATAAGTCAGGATCAATTCACAAATTAATACTTTACTACGCGGAGTAATGAAGTTCATTACGATCGTGAGGACGCGATCATTAAGTTCTTAGTATTAATTTATGCAGTTAAGTAATAGTGCCTCTCTTTTCAGGGAAATGCCTACATCTAAGTGGTCTCACGCCCGAACCATTGACTGCGGACGACGATTACAAGCTTTTGCGACTCGGTATTGGCTTTACAAATATGGTAGCACGTGCGACGAAAGGCAGCGCAGATCTTACAAGAAAGGAAATTAAAGAAGGTCAGTATGCCGAACGCTTTTAGTATGTTCGAAACGAGCGATGAGATAATTACGAAATCTCGGTCGAAAATAATTATTGCATAAGCCGATATCGCCCCGACATAATTTACGGGAAAATTAATTTGAACTTTGTATTATATTCACCGTGCGTTATACAATATTTTCATCTCATAATATTTATATTTTATTATATAAAAAAATCGAAAGATAGGATATGTATCGGTTCGATTAATATTTACGAATTTAAGCTCTACAGTTCGACACATAATAAGCATATGAGACATAAAATTAAAACATTCTTAAAATTTGTGAAGCAAATTTTTCTTTTCTTTTTGCAATAATTAATTATGTACAGGGTTCCTATTGGTTTTTGTATTAATTCTTTAGTCATCTCGACTTTCCTTTTACAATGGTTTATTCAAAATTTGTGATTCAGGACATTGACCTGGCCTGGCATTCGACGTTCATGTCTATTGCTTTCCTTTTTCTATTTCCATGAAAGTCGGCTGTAAAACCAACATGTACCTAATGTGTACCTTTGGCAAAGGATGCAGGGATTCTTCCTGCTTGACTAATGTCACGCCTATTACTTTTCCTTTTGTATTGAAAAAAAGGAAAACAAGAGACATTGTATATATCAATACAATGCCTACAATTTACGATTCTTGGACATTCATTTAAATGAAACTTTCGCAAAAACTTTCAAAAATTCTTCAAAGGAAACAATGATTTCATTGTTAAAACTATAATATTTTATGTGTTCTATTGAAATAATAAATAAATTCAAGGACAGAGGTTTTAAATTTTCGTTACACCAATTAATATCTCACAATTGTGTCCGAGACTGATTCTCTTTGAAATATATTGTTAAACAGAAAAAAGAAAGAGGAACATCTTAGATGTTGCAACTGCTTCTTAGATGTTGCTGTTTGACAATATATAGTGCAAAAAGTATTCGTACAGAGAAAATATTTAAAAAAAAAAAACATTATTTTTTTAAGAAGTAAATATTATCCAGCGAGAAACGAATCGTCGAATTGATGTCGAATCGATGATTTCAATACCAATTCGACGTTTATTCGACGTTTAATTGACAATCATTTCTTGCTAAGTAATTCACAATTTATTCATAAAGAATAAAATAGACTGTACGTTTCTTAAAATTACATATACCAAAAAGATGTGAATTAATTATAGAAAATATACCTGAAAAATAAGAAATTTAAAAATTATCGAAAATTAAAAATTCTATTATTTTGGATGCTTAAAATATTCGTATAGTCCAGAAATTTAGCTTCTAAAATCAGGAATACACGCGCAGCTCGTTTGTTTATGTTAGAACAGAATATATGAGAGAATTCATTGTATGAAATGGCTAATTAATGTTTATTTTTTACAAATAAGACTTTTTTTTTTTTAAATTTCCTTATACGATTTTTGCTCTCATTGTACTTCGAGGAAACTCGAATCAGTACCGGACAGTTGTAAAAATAACAGCCCTTTGTTAGTTTATCAAATATTCTAAAAACAGAAAATAACCGAGATAACGTTTACAAACACATGTCCTATAAATTGATAAGCTTTTCAATCGAAATGTGTTACTGGTTGTCTAAAGCAACTAATGAAATTCGAGAAAACTTCAAGAGAGCAACATGGCTCCAACGATAAGCGAGCTACTCGATCGTTATTATTTTGCTCGAATGTTCTCAATTGTGATTGGTCGCAAGCAGGGAGCTCAATGACGTATTTGTATTCGACTTTTCAACTATGATAGATTCCGGAAATCCTATTGTGTCGCAGCGTTTTCTTTGTTATTTTGCTCAGGTAGTTTTCTTTAGGATACAGAGGGTCTAATATCTAACCTAAGTAGTAGTCCCAGTATACCTACCAGAAATCAGTACAATTTCGACCGTGAGACTGTAAACGTCGTGCCGCTTTTTTTCGGGAAAACCCGTGCCGAATCTCGAAAGAGATATGTACAATCGCATCAGTATGGAAAGCACGGGTTAAAGAAATAACCGTGAGATAAGTGCGTAAGATGTACCGGGGTGAATTATCGAAATCGGCGGAATGTAAGGAGTATTCTCTTTTTCTTTTAACGGTGCAATGCGTGCTCGCGACGTTAAAACTTCGGGCTTGCTCATTTATAGCGTTTATTTATTCGTGCTCTACCCTTCGTTTCGAAGTTACACTCTTGTTCCGAATATATCTCAAGAACGTGAAACAGAATCTCGAGTGCACTGAGTTTTAAATAAATAAACGCGACCCAAGAATTCTCACGTTGTGGAATTTATGCCAAAAAAAAAGACGGTGTTACACACGTTATACGGCCACGTGTTTTCCGATCAGCTATACAAGTATGTGTATAATAACGACAGGAGTATAGAGGCTTACATAACGCATAGTGCGTAAGAAAATGAATCAATTAAGCAGTAGTAAGCGAATCGACATTTCTATGGGCTTTCTACACTAAGCCACAATCTACTAAGTTTTAAATCTAAATAATAAAGTCTTAAGAAATTGATCAATCACAGTCGAATGTGAGAAGAATAATCGACTGTGATTGGTCAATTGTAGAAATTGGCCCATTTATTCGACGCTACTGCCTTGCGTTATTGCCTTATGTTTCTAATGTGATTAGCTTATGTCCTTACGTTTTTTTGTGTGCAGCAGTGTGTGTGTCTTTGTTCCTCTCGTTCGGAGGAGAAACGTCCGTCTCTTACTAACGTCAGGCCGAATTCAATAGACGCGATGTCACGAGTGGGAAAAGTTTCGACATATCGATGCGAGATCGTTTTACTGACATTCGTAAAAACGCTTAATGCCCGTTTCTACTAATCTATATTAACCTTTAATCTCGGTTAAACTTAGGGTAGTATTCACAGTCCATTCTTATTATAAGGTTGTCTTAAGCAGCTCTACAATGAGATTTTTAAGGCGTAAATCTTAAACTTTAAACCTGAAGCTGTAAGAAATTAATCAATCGAATGTGAGGAAAATAATCGACTATAGTCGATATAATATCTTTAGATGCTAATAAAGCCCTCCGATTAACTTATAATATTTTATAGCTGTACTTGAATATAAGAATTGACTACGAAGACCGGTCTTATTCCTTTGTCTTTTTCTAATCCTTAGAAACTAGAAAAACATGAAAAGTTAGTTGAACCAAGATTAAAATCACATTGGTATAGAACGGAACATAAATGGTGGGGTTATCGCGTATACAGGGCGTTTCACACGATACCTTGCGAACCGATTTGGAACTTTAAGATTGATTTTTTTTCGACACAGAAGGATACATTCAAATTTACTCGACTATTTTAATTCTCTTAAACGATCGTTTCGTTAATTGAATTAACAGATTCACTGTCTTGAACAAAAGTCTTCGTAATCCGTCTTTAACTCCTTTTCGCCGACGCATATCCGGAGTGAACTTATATTCCGCGATATTCCATGAAAAAGAAAGGAACAGTGCAAAAACGGCGTAGAAGCAGATAAAAGTAAACAATGGTAATGAGATAAAAGCCGGTTGCATCAACAGGTTAGGGCCGAGCAGGCCGTGTGTACGAACGCCTCCATGTTTCTTTCCGAAGTAACAGCTCTAATCGCTTTTCCCACGCGCCGCATGGAAACAAGAATTTTCCAATTTATCTCCGAAATTCGCCGGAGTGGCTCGAATGTTGGCGTTCATTCATCGTACACGGCAAGCGCCTTGCCGCAATGTATCTCAATCTCGATCGATCTCTTTCGAAGGGACGTGGATACAACATTTATGAACGGCACCCACCGCGATATTATCGCAGCAATGTATCTAGCCGGAAAAAGATGTGCCGGCGCCATTTGCGACAATAGCAAACGGCGCCGTTACACGGCATCGGCAAAAAGGAACACAAGCTCGTGGATCGTGATCGAAGGGTGCTCACCGTATCGTCGATCGTTCGTCGCGTCTCCACGTTGGAGCCAGTCGTCCTCTACGACGGACGTCGCGGTCGTCCATCTCGTCGTGTCGACGCATTCACGCTCGTACGAAGCGGCGGGCCTCACTTCTTCCATCCCGCAGCAGTCCTCGAAACGTTTTTTAACGGACCGATCACTCCGACATAGCGGCCATGCGTGTACGCGACGCGGGAAGCGGCAGTACTGCCAACTTTATCGGCACCACTCGCTCCGCTCGCTCTTAAAGGCATATCGCAACACGCGTGTCGCGTATCGCCCTGCCGAAAGCGATGTAGACCCCTCCATCCATCCGAATATGTCGCCCTACCGACGGACTTTGATTTGCCTATCATTAGAGAGATGCGCGACGCCAACGATTTCAATTTTAAATCCTATAACCACTGGATTCGGCGAAGTACATGCGGTATTTTGTATTTGTATGTTACTCTCTAAATCTTTTCCAGTCAAATCTCACTCCGAGAGACTGAAAATTGAGGCAGTCTTGACGAAAAAAAGAACGTCGTATTATTTATTAGGAGAGCGGTCGAGAGCAGTAATAATTAATAGCTAGTAAACTACTTCATCGGCGATGTCCCTCGTGTTTCAGTAAAATCGCCGTCTCTCTCTTTCTCTCTCTCTCTCTCTCTCTCTCTCTCTCTCTCTCTCTCTCTCCTTTTTCCGCGAGAAGTTGGAGTGGAGCATCGAACGTCGAGTACCGCTAAAATAAAGTAGCCGATAAATTAATGACGCCGGAAGTATAAAAGCGGAGTAAAGGTCGAACACTACTTTTCTCACCGCTTCAAATGGGATTAGTTAATTAACGATTGGTCACCAGTATTTAAATATCACTGATTCGCATATCCTGTTTTAATCCCGGCACGCGTAGCAATACTTTTAACATTTGGAAAATACGAAAAAGATGCGAATGTAATGGAAGTCCTGCACGAGCGTGTTTCAAAAGGCGTCGCTCTCCCCTCCCCCTAAATTCAAGAGAGAAACAATTGAATTACGAAAATCATTTTTACGACAAAAAATTAACTCAACAAAAAAATCTAAATCGAGATGTAAGACGTCGAAAAGACATTTTGCGTGAAAGGTTCCAAGATTAATTTTTATCAATAGATAAGTTTCTATCAATAGATAAATTTCTATCAATTGATTAACTTTGATCTCGGGTTTTATTTAGTCTTTATTTATCCTTTTTTAATTCTTCGAATTAGAAGATGATAAAAAATAAGTTAAACCGAGGGATTAAAGTTAATGTACGTTGATAGGAATGAACGTTTTTCATTTTCTGACCTCACGATTAGACTTAACGATTAGACTTAACCAGGTAATGGAAAAATTTTATTTTTCTCGCTACGGTTAATTACTAAACTGATGATTTTTTAAAGTTATCACTACAAAATTATCAGCCCATTAATTAATCGTAGTTGGAAAAATACTTTTACATTACCATCAAATAAAATCTAAACTACAAGTTAATCAGGTAATAAAAAGCCAGACGTTAAAGACATCTTATATCCTGATTTTAGACTTTGTGTTGTCTGTGAACGCTCATTGACCAATGCCTAGCTTATGTTAATATTTCTTAACACATCTTTTACGTAAGTAGCTTAATAAATTTTATGTAAATTTATATCTCCCTCTACTAAAATTCTATTTTTTAAAAATTCTATTTACGACATGTCCTGCTACGATCAGTCGAAACTAATGTGAATACAAAAATGAATGAATTAGAATCCTGAGTAATTCTGCATAATTCCAGAATGACTTAATTCCTGTAATTCAGACAATTACAGCCGCATCTGTACTTACGTCGATTATACCGTGCAGAAATCATTTCGTTTACTTTACGTTATTCGATTGTTATGTCTTTCGTAATGAAGAATATCTTTAATTATTATTACTAAGTACTGTTTTATTAAATTGCAACGCGATAATTTCTCTCTCGTTTACAAAAATATACAGAATGGATGAATTGCATGATATTAATAGCATTCACGAATGAACGCGAGGATAAAGAGGAGCGATAGGTGTAATCTATAATCAATGACTTTATGTAATAATGTCTATATTTATAAGTTAGGGTAATTATAGGCAAGCGTAAATGTACTGTCTATGCTATAAAATTTGAATTTAATTGAATTTGCTTTTAAGTTTTTAAAATATACATTAGAGATAAATAAGAATATTAAAGAGAAAGAGATAACGACAAGCTATTTATTTATGTTAATCGATCATCACTTTATAATTAATTCCTTTTCATTTGGTTGTTAATTATCAATATTATATATTAAAATTGTAATATATTTACTTATAATTGTATTAATTATATTTATATTAATTATTGTTTTTATTTTGCAGGTAGTCACATTCTGCTCGAGAAATTACGAAAGTATAAGCCAAAAATTGCAGTATTCAACGGCAAACTCATATACGAAGTATTCTCGGGAAAGAAGGAATTTGGGTTTGGCAGACAACCGAATCTCGTCGACGGTACCAATACGGTAAAATAGCTTACATTTTTCTTCATGCTCTTGCACTGAAAAAATATCCTGCGTAACACAGAATTCAAAAATTTATCCAGGAAAAAACCATTTAAAGGAATTCTAAAATAATCGGACGTTTCACGCATCTTTACTTACTTTTTGTGTTGCTCGGAATATTAGAAACGAGGTCTGTTTTCTGTTTCTGCATTAGAGTGCACTAGAATTCTTTTCCTCGCTTTCGACAAATATTAAATCTTTCTCACTCTTTTTTCACTTTCAGTTCCAAAAGTGTACACTAATTCAGCCACAGAAAACAGACCTCTGATACCTATCATTTTAGTGAATTCAGTGAGAATGTAGATCTCGACTGACAACATCTTGTCACAAATAAACAGAAATCATTTTCGCTATATTTTGACTATGCCATTTGAACAATTTCAACAAAATTATTTTACAATAAGAATTTTATTGGACCGTACGTTTGGAAATTCAATAGTAAGAAATATAGTAAATAAATTCAATAGTAAGAATACGATTAATGGCCGTAACGATTAAAGCTAAATCTTTCATGGTCAAATAATTCAATCTGAATTACTATATATACTATATATGTAATTATTTTATATTTACTATACGTATATAAAGTTTTAATGTTTATAATTTTAATTACATAATCGCCTAAGCAAAATCCTCACTTCTCGATGTTGTGTATTGCAGTATATGTGGGTTATGCCCTCAAGCAGCGCGAGGTGTGCTCAACTACCACGTGCTGCTGACAAGGTGCCATATTACGCTGCTCTGAAGAAATTCCGCGACTACCTAAACGGTACGATCACGCATTTGGACGAATCAGACATCGTATTCGCCGATTCAAAGCTCAAGAAGAAAGACCACGAAGCGATCGAGGATAAGAAGTCAGTGTTTACCGACGATTTGCCCGACAGTGAGAGCCGAATCACGGAGATCAACGGCATGGGAATTAAACAGGAGTCGGGCGTGATACCTGGCAAGAAGAAACGCGGAAGACCGAAAAAGATAAAAAATCCAGAGGATCAGCCACCGCCGGATCCTGAGAAGCTGGACGCGAACGGCGAGGTCATTAAAAAACGTCGCGGTCGTCCGAAAAAGATCCATCAACAGCAAAAGCAAATGGAGCGGGAGAATCGTGAGAGAGAGCAGCAACAGCAACAGCATCAGGTGATGGGCCACTTGAACGACGGATACAGTAACGTGTCGAACTGCTTTTCGCCACCACTGATGTCACCTCCAAAGTTCCAGCATATGGCGCCGTACGCGCCGACGATGAATGACGGCTTCTTCGGCCAGGGAATGAACGACAATAGCCCGTACAATATGAGCGCGAAGCAAAGCCCTGTGCACCTGCAGCAGCATTACAGCCAGAGCCCCAAGTCCATGTCGCTGTCGTTCACGCACTCGGACTTATCGTCGGAAATCAATACTGCAATCTCGTCGGAGAACAATCTCGAGCCGTCGCCTTTGACGTCGCCTAGCGTCGAGCATCCGGACTTTGAACCGCCCACCAGCATGTCGCAGCAAAACATGGGCAACGATCATCGTCAATATAATCCGGCTGGAGGGCCCGATCCAACAGGTCACCATGGCAGTCCTGGCACGCCGTCCCATAACAGCTATGCCAACTACATGGGTTACCACGAGCAGCCACCAGACGCTCATAATCCGCATCCGCATCAGACGACATCGACGCCTCTCAGCCAGACCGCCGAGGATCACTCCCATCATTCGCATCCAACGCCACCGCATCCACACACGCCCACCCATACGTCCATGTCGCCGCACCATCCGCACGAGCAATACGGCATCAAGAGGACGTCCGGTCAGGACGTGGCGTCTAAGAGTCTGAGCGACCTAGAATCCCTCGTGGACCAGATCCCGAGCATAGCCGATGGCGGTAGTCAACGCCTGCAACACGCGCATCCGGGTATGCCGGGCGACGATAGCTTGGCGGAGAAGATGGACGCCCACCATCAGTCCTACATGTCCGGTTTCGGCGGCATGCCGGCTGGACCAGCTGGAATGGCCAATTACAGTCCACCGTTGCCGCCGGGTAGCGGAATCTATCCCTCCTCGCTACACCACTCTCCCACCGACGCTGGCTACGGAGCTTTATACGGTATGAACAGTCGTCATCATCAAGACTCTCAGCAACAGCAGCAGCAGCAGCAGCAGCAGCCACAACATCAACAGCAGCAGCAGCAGCAGCAACAACAACAACAGCACAGCAAGTCCTCTTACACGGTGGAAAATCTCGCGTCCAGTAACTACACTCCTAGCATGAATCACGGACACCCCAGCGTCCCCAGCAACAATTACCACCCCAACATCATAACCGGGCACTATCCGGTGTCGATGAGCTCGACCAATGGGTATCTGTTCGGAGGCCTCGAGACAAGCTTGATGCAGCGTACGTACGGAATTGGTGGGATGAGCGGCATGAGTAGCATGCATCCATCCGCCACCCTCGGTCATCCGATGGCGGGTAACCCGTACCCGTACAACGGCTCGTACTCAAGCTCGTTCGATGCTTACCCAGCGCCACCGACGGGCATACACGCGCCCAGCGCCAATTACCCCAGTTACGTCGGCACGGCTGGCGCGGCGTCCAGCAGCACCACCACGCCGCCGTCCTACCTCGCACCGTCGCACCACAGACCGCCGGTCGACCTCTCCTATGACGGTGTATGATAATCGATGTGAGATACCGTTCGCCGACCCACCATTAGCCCCTAATGATCCTATCTCTTTCTCTCTCCATCTCCATCTCCATCTCCAACTCCAACTCCATCTCCATCCCGTCCTCCCATCCTCACCGACCTCACTTCCGCCTGCCGATCGCCTCCTGTGCGCGCGCGCGAGCGACGCACGTATCCGCCGCGTTTATCTTTTCTACGTATTTTTACACACGTCTTTTAAGACACGGCTCTCAACGTGTCGGGGTCGCACCGTCGCGCGTCGTCCCCCCCGAATCGCCGTTCCTTCATCTCCTCGTCATTTTCTCTCTTTAAATCGCTCTCTCCGCGAAATCACCCTCCGCGAGATGCTATCTCCAATCTGCGCGCAATCTTTCGCTCTTTGTCGATCCGTTTGCCGCACGATACTCTATTTCCTCTTTTTCACTCACCTTTGCTCAAGCCAGTTCTATGTACAAAGCACCCCAGAATTGGCGAAAAATGGATATACACATTTTTCCTCTCACCGAGATAACATCGAGACTCTGATAGCAATAATGAACTATTATCCGAATTATTATTAGATAGTACATCTAATGCATTTTGTTTCAGATGGATACTACTTTAAGAATCTGAAGCTTAGTTCCTAAGATATTGAAACTGAGATTTGAAACATTGTGCGAAAATGAAGATGCCCTGCCTAGCAAAAATAAAGCGTGAGACAGAAATGAATGCAAGTCGAAGAGTAAAGGGAGAGTGATAGAAGCGTAAGCAAACGTACTCTAAGGTGCTTGGGACAATGTAATGTAAAAGAAGCATTAATATGCTTTGCGCTTCTTTTACATTCTATTATTTCAATTTACGTTCCTTAAACCGTTCGCTCACGTTTCTGTCACTATCTTTACGTTCGACTTACTTCCGTTCCTTTTTGTCTTGTGCTTTATTTTCGCCAGGAATTCGAGGCATGCATATTGTATTGTGTCTATATTGCGTCAATTTTGGGGCAGCCTATGCAACTGTCGGTCTTTCATTTCAACATCTCTCCACTCTTTCTTCCTGCATCCCGCTCCTACGTACTTCGTCGCCAATCATCTCTCTCGTGCTCTATTTCTTTTTTTTTTTATCACGCTCTCAATATGTGATTACGCCGTGAGTAATTACGGGCGCGCGGCTCGGGAACGGGAAAACCACTCGTGAAACGCGACTAGCGCACGCAACGAACGAGAATTGTAAGGGTAGATCAGGTTCGCCGATCGCGTTCTGTACCGATCCGATCGCTAAAATACACTTACACGGGCACGCATTCTGATAACCATAACGATAAATGACCTTAATACCGAACAGATCACGGATTATGAATTCGGCCGACGTAGCCAAGGTCGGGCAAACATGTAATTACGCTATTCTTCTTTCCTACGTCGATCAAGAAATATCGATCATACCGATTGCTACGAGCATATCTACGAGCTTTAACCGAAACCATGTTTCCGTAAACTCTTTCGTATTTCGAAGAGCATTCAATATTGCAAATGGGGTATATATCCTAGTTTGTAATTGCAAATTGTTATCTTCGAAAGTCAATAAGAAACGACGCGTTATAAAGTAAAGCACGAAGTCCGAAATATTACCGATTATATCGAGAAACAAGTATAATTTCGACGAATTCAAATTCTCGGTGCACAAGAAATAATTGATTTGTTAGATAATTAATTTATTTTAATCAATAACTATTAGTTATTGTGCAATAATTATATGTATATTGATTGATCACTTAAAATGTCTCTTATTTATAAATGATATTATGATGTTATCATTTTATATAAAATATATAATATTACATAATATATATTGTTTATATGATATTATATACTTTATATTACAAAAAAAAACGACATGATAAAGTATAATATTATTTATTGAAAATAACGAGTGTGCAATAAGATTTTTGTGATAATATTATAAAAATGACTTCTTGTGTCTATCAGAAATGGAATTGATCGAATTTATATCGGTTTCCTTACGACAAAAAAAAACGCGCTACAATTGTACGATTAGAATAATAGCATAGATCATTTACTTATCGTTTACGTATCACATTGCGTCTTAATACCATTAGCCTGTTGTATTGTATTAATGTGTTGCGTATTTGATTAATTACACGTCAAATGCTGCACTTTATATGACGATGCAATTTCATGTCATCGGAATTGCTATCTTAATTTCTCTAAGAAATCGACGATTTGCTTCGTTTTACAACTTTACGTGGATAGGACGCACGTAATATTATTTGTTAGAAGCGATATTTGTATACAATTTGTTTCACTATTCAACTTTTAACACAGGAATGAAACGAAGAATTAATTATTTTGACGGAAGAAGAGAAATCCATCGAAAGATTTATCTTTTATAAACTTGTAACTAAGGAGTCACCTCCTCTTGATGAGCAATCGTTCTCATTTCGATAGTGCACCGAGCCGAACTTAATCGAATTGAAAGTTTCAAGTTCAGGAGGAACTCTGTAATTCGCTCGGCTTGTGCCATAATGAGGTATCGTTGCTAATATAGCAAATTAGTCTAAGTAAAAGTGATAGAAGGGACTCACGTAACTAATTGTTGACCCATCGAAATATTACGAAACTCGGTTGTGAAATTACGATTTTACGTACCCTCTCACGTTTCTACGAGTCCGTGTTTGTTATCATACAGCAACAAAAATTGAAATAAGAACGCGATCAATCGATTAGATATCCTTGCGTTCGGAGCATCATCATTTCTGAACGCGCGAATCTGCATCGACCATTATCAGCGCGGTCGGATGTTTCTCAGCCCGAATAAAAGATACACTATCATTTGTTTCGTTTATTCTTTTTCTTGCCACGCACAGAGTGTGTTCCAGATTAAATAATTTTCCAATTTCCGTTTTTGTTATTTTCCACCGAAAAATCACATCTCCTCATCGCGCTCTAACGAGAGATGAGCAAATGGAAAATGTCACGAAATTGCGCGTCGCTCTCGCGCTCGCGGCACGTGAGCTTTTTTTTAACAGAGTAAATATTAATCGTTATCGTCATTGTATCGTTAAGGTTACTGCACATAGCAAGGGAAAAAAAATCAAGCCCGATTGCGTCGGTGCATCCTCAATCGTGGCACGACCATTTTCGTCAACGTTGGTCAAATTTAACCGTAGTTTAATCCTTATCCGGGGAAAAAGGAACTATTTCTCGAACGCGACATTCAGAAGGCAAGTGTAAAAAAGTGTTATATAAAAGTATCACGCGATTAAAAGTTTTCCTTTGTATTCGTTTCCTCCCGCAATCGGATAAAGTCAATTTTGCGTGAAAGAAACCGTTGAATTGTAGATGTAACTTAAACGTTATGCTAATTCAACTGCTGCGCGTCATTTCCATTTAATATTTCGAGACTCTTTTGGATATATTCTTGCGTTAAAAATTCCAAATTTCGAATATATTTATTCGCGCGAATGACGTTTGATCAGCGTCGTTTAATTAGAAATGTGAAGTAACTTATTTATCTCCTTCTCGGAAAAAAAATGACGGGACTAAAAGGAGATAGAAAGTCGATTAAACTAAGGTTGATGTTAATCGATGTTAATAGAACCGGCCTTGCAACTCGCGCGCGGGACGGAATTCGCCGACGATCGACCGAATTATAACTTGAACCTTGGTAAGAGAGACCGCCCGCGCGACCGGATGCCAAGCTTACTTAACGTAAGAAGATGTATGAGCCCAAAACGTGAGAGGCGGAAGAAGGAAGAGAGACTATTCGTGTGTACTTTAATTGTTTTATCATCACCGCGCCATCCACTTTCGTACCTCGCGCCCGCAACAGCCATCGCCGTTTTCTCGTTGCAACTCTGGCTATTATTTATCGTTATCTCAACTCGATATCGCTGTGTGAAGTTACGTCGTTATTAACATAGTCGCGTTACGTTGTCTCGTTAATTATATTCTGTTATGCGTTTCGCATTTTGCCGAAAGTCACTATATATTAATACACGATTATATGAAAACGGACACACGCATTCACGCGCACCACACACCCAACACGCGCACGCACACACACACGCGCGCGCGCGCGCGCACACACAGACAGAGACACACACACACACAAAACATACGTACACTTACATGCAGTCGTAATAGATATAGCTGGCATTAATCGGCATCCTCCTTTGTCGCTGACCGACGCTGTAAAGTGACGCATCTGGCATGATTATAAATATATATACAGATATAAATATATAAATATATAAATATATATATATAGATATTATATAAATATAAACTATAAATATATTATATATGTAAGGATAAGCGAGCAACATTTATCTCGGGTGAAATCACCTAGGATGTGTCGAGACATTTAAGATGATGCACAGGGTATAGATGAGAATCGTTGATATAATAACTGATGTCTATATTATAGATGTTTCTTTCGTTCCATCATCGGCCTCAACACACACACATACACACACACACACACACACACACACACACACACACACACACCGGCATAAATTACATAATATCTGTACACAGCAAACACACACGCGCACACACGCAAACACGCATACATATAAACATACAGACGCGAGTCACGAGTACATACGATCGAAGTTTATTGTAGTAGATGTTTTTCAGAAATCCAATCCGATTCCGGACGGCGGCCAAGAATAATAGATGTCATCGGTGTGTTAGTCGCGCAACAACGTTCATCGATTCGCAATCGAAAAGATGAGGATTAATATACACATAACTCTGGCCGGTCGGTGCGACCGGCACATCCAACCGCACTACTAATTAATTGACTCTTCGATTAATCAAATTAACTAACTGATTGTAAATTGATCGCTCTATATTAAGGACTTTACTATTAAGTATAAATATATATTATACAGATATATAAAAGTGTGGATTCGCTGTTGAACGTGTCGAATTAAACAAAGCAAAAAAGAAAAAAAGAACAAAATCCGAGAGTTAAGTAAGCGAGTAAGAGAGCTTGGGCCGGGATTTGTGCCGGCCTCCGACATATTTTTTAATCGCTTCGAACCTCTATTATTCTACCTATTAATTAAACGTAATGGTGTATCTACGTGTGCGTTCGAACGATCGGCCTGATCCGTATCGCGGATCCCAGCTCTGCCAGCTCCTGTCGTCGATCGGGTCGCGATCGCTCGGGCAGTCGAGATGTGTTCTGTATCTGAATTAACGAATGTACTTCTCGAATATTCATCGCTCCTACGAAATATCGCGGGATAAGGAAGGGTGACAGATGCTCGTCGACTGCAGCTTGACGATAGCTCGAAAGAAAAGGAAAAAAAAAAAAGAAAAAGAAAAAGAAAAAGAGATTTCTCCCTTGCTCTTTTGCCGCCCGATCCTAACGAAGCCCACGCAGATCTCCAACGGACGTTACATTGGGTGCTCAGTGGATACCCGAGTATCCCGCAATATGTAAATCTGTATGTCTCTGCTCGTACTACTACGATATTTTATGTGAAAAATGAATTGTTACAAAATACATTACTGATATAACACCGAAAGAGAATGGTAGTTCTTTACCCGAAAGAAATCTTTCTTTCTCGAACGACAAGCGAACGGCGCGACGTTGGGAACTATAATAATAAGTTCTTATGGTCTCTTTATCTCTCGGTGCAATCTCATACGATCTTTTTATAACAAAGTTATACGAAGGAGCGTAATAATCATTCAATAACACTGTGGTATATTCGGAGATCTAAATACTTGATCCACACTACGATTATCTGCGTGTCGACTGATCTCTTTTTTTTTTTACATTTAAATCACACGCAAATATGTGTATATATAATATATATAATCGATCGAAAAAATAGATAGAAAAATTAATTAAATTTTATTCTTTGAAGGAAATTATCCACGTAGAAGTGATAATAATATAATAAGGATATCATCATCACCTTATTTGTCATTTATAAATTCATTTTGAAATATTAAATGAGGTCCTGATGACGTCCTATGATATTATTATAACTTAATCATGATTCTGCGTTTTACCTGGATAAGAATAATAAGCTAGATGTGTCCAATTAAATTATACGCTGAGAATCTTTTATGATCCGGATCGTATATATGTAGAATCGCGCGAAAATTCGATATCCTTGCCCATAATTGTCCAATGAGGCTAATAAGATAAATATTTTAATGAGCTAATCGTCTAGAATTTTAGATTCATTATCGAAGTCGATTAAGAGAACGAAATTGATGTGCGCGTTTATTATTATTAAAGGCTCACACTGTATAAGCTGTGTGTCGTGTGGTCAAAATGTTACATTACGTATATTAAATTTAAAAAAAAAGTAACAAGGAAAAGGAATTTATATGATAATGACGGTTATTATTTTGCCAGGTATGGCGACGATCATCTCCCTCGATTGCGAGACGATTAAAGCTTTTATTCTCCTATTGTTTCTTTGATTTCGGGAGATCGAATCTCTCCGCCATTTTCTGTTTCGATTTCGCGGATCGTCAATCAGCTTCACGAATATTAGAGAAATCAACAATCTTTGGCAACAATCAAGCTCGAATAGTCAGCGCCTTTGGCTTCGAATCAGCTGTTGAATTCTTATGACGCAAATCGTGGGAATTAAATGTCAGTTCACTAATTCCACTTCGTTATCGTC